CATTCTTAATAAACTTTACTATAATTACCCTGGCCAAGTAACTTATTATAATGTTATTAAGCACTCACCAGCTCTCCAAGAACTCATATAAAATGGTAACAATATATTTGTACATTTTATTAACGTAATAAGCTTCACTCTAATTATTTTAATTAAAGAAATCAATAATACAAAAATCTTAAGTTTCTCTTTAATTATTCTAATTAAAGAATCAATCATATAGAAACATTTAGTCACAAAGAACATTCAAGTGTGTAGAAACGCTTGACTCTTTCTAATCGTTCTAATTTTAAATACAATTATCACTGCAAAACAATGAAACGACATGTGGATCATATTTACGCATGGCTGGGTATGATCGATGTAACTGGTCCAGAAAGATCACATGATTCTGCAAGAATATTTTATCTTACATCATGTGATCTGAGACAGATCACGTGTTTCGGGCACGGGATTGGAATAAGGGGCAGAATAATTTTTTATAACATTTTAACTTTGCGTTTTTATACTAACTCTTCTTAAAATGCGTTATTAATAGTATTTTTATATGTACTTAATTTATTTAAACTTCAGGAATATCACAATCAACGCAGCCAAAAAACAAGCTTCCCATTATTTGATCCCCAAAGTACCTTGTCTGTGAGCTTGTAGTGTTCTTCATGTCTATTAATTTCTTTCAAAAATGGCATTACCAAAGCATCGAAGTTACTCACAAAATTATCTCCCGTTCACACAATGCCAATGCAGATTCGAATTTTTTCTATATTGAATATGTCTTTGCTCATCTTTACTCATTAACTCATTCTGTACGTTGTTTGACGTTGCCCTCTTAAAACTAAATTTTCTGTATATTGTTATGAATTATCAATTTAATTGGCTACATATGAACCGGTTAATGTTCAGCTCCAAATTTATTATTTATTATTTATTATTTATTCAAATAAATTAATACATTATTACAAGTCTAAGTAGTTTTATTATTATTATTATTATTACATATAGATAGAAAATATATTTGTAATTGTCTATATAGCACCTGCCATTATAGTTTCATCCTTTCGTAATGGTGAATTCTTTATAAAGAGTGCAGCAATTACAGAGATTCCGGCCATAATTGTTTGCGCATACCAAACTTGTTGTAATGCTAATACATAGGCATGAATAACTTGAGATTCTGTTTCGTGTGGGAGACTGTGCACATATTCTATAGAATTTTGTGCTCTAAATTAAATAATAAAGTGCAGAATAAGTTATCGAGTTCTATGATATATTCATTCACGATAAAATAACCAATTGAATAATACTTACAAGAAAATTTCTTCAGGGGATGAGAACATATTCTCCAAAGAGTTCCCCAAGTGATTAAAGAATACGGTTGAAGAAATCGAAACTCCGATTGCTCCGCCCAGCATTTGAAAGAAATTTACTAGCGCGGTCGCTGACGCCAAATCTTTGACATCTGTAGCAGATTGTACCGCAACTACACCAAGTGACCATACGATTCCCAATCCGAATCCGAAAATCACAAGATAACCGATCTCTTTACCGATTGAATCATCCTCCGTAAAAGTGCTGATCAATCCAACTGATATCACGCCCAATGCTGTACCTAAGAACATTAATTCTCGAACTCGTCCGAATTTTGGCGCTAAAATAGCTGCAAGGTTTGCCGTTATTACTAATCCAACGGGGATCGGAACTAATCGTAATCCACTAATTGTTGCGCTACTATGTTTTGCCACTTGCCAAAATATCGGTAGGAAATACATTAAACTGAAAAATGACATACAGAAAAATGGTGCCGCAATATATACTGCTAATGCTGTTCGGATTTTGAATAATTGTGGTGGAATAATTGGTTCAATGGCGAATTTCGCTTCATAAACTCCCAACATAATTACTAAAATTCCAGTAACGACAAAGAGGCTTATAATTGTTGCACTCGACCAGTCATATTTTGTACCTCCCCATGTTACTGCTAATAATACTGTTACTACTGCACCAACAATTAAGGCCGTTCCGAGATAGTCGACACGTTTTAATTTATCACTCAAAGATCCTTTAACTCCAGGTAACTTGAGTGTAAATGCTATTAATATTAAGCTTAGCACACCGATTGGTAAACTATTACATGATAAAAGTATAATTATTTAATTTATAATTTCGTTATTTGCATATATATTGTATATAAAAACTTACTTGAAATAAAAACCCCATCTCCAGGTAACATGATCAACAAAAGCACCACCAATCAACGGACCTAATACACTCGCGATCGAAAAAATAATAGCTACAAGTCTAAATAAGGAAAAAATAATAATTTATTATCTTGTTTTTTTTTGAAAAAACTTAGATTTTTTTAAACTTACCCTTGATATTTAGCACGCTCGTCCAATGTACTAATATCTGCAAATATAATTAAGGTACAACTGAATACAGCGCCACCACCAATGCCTTGTAACGCCCTCATTATGATCAACATTTTCATGCTTTGTGCTGCCCCGCATAATGCACTTCCGAGCAAAAATAATGTCAGACCGATAAACATTACAGCACGTCGACCAAAAATGTCTGCGAATCTACCGGCCAACGGGATAAATGCGTTAAATGTAAGGATATATGCTGTGGCGATCCATGACACGTCGGATAAATTATTGAACACTGATCCAATTTTTGGCATTGCTGTTGATGAAATTGTATTATCTAAGCCAGCAAGAAACAGAATGAGGCATAATCTAATATGTGCATATGGATAAGAAACGCGTCAGTTATTAAAAAATGTGTGGACATAACTAGTATAATTATACTTACCCACTAAGCAATGGAATTTTAACAGCCTTTGGCAGTTGTACTGGCTCAAAATCAATTCCCGTATGATCGCCACCTTCCTTTTCACTACCTTCACTTTTAACATCAATTCCTAATTCAATACTTTCAATTTTTTTCTCTTTTTCGGAAGAATCGACCACAATTGTTCTTGCGCTGTTTCGCTTATCTTCGGATGCAAATGTTTTTACTGTTAAACTTGATTCATGTCTCGAATCGTTGGTTTTTGTTGTATTAGTTTCTCCTTCTACTTCAGTTTGAGTGGCTTGATTTGATGGTATGTAAACCACTTCCCCAGCAATTGTTCGGGGGTTTGAATTCATTTTTTGTATTTTGTGACAAATTATTTTACAATAATACGCGCGCTTTATATGTTTATTCGTCGATCTTTCAAAAATTTGTGATATATATATATATATATATACGTATATCGATCAATTAAAGGATTCTCAAGCAGACACTAAAAAAATTGGTCTCTTAAAATTTTCTTCCTGCTCACCCATCCCTTCTTTTATACATAAAAGAAATTAATCAACGCGCATTTTCGATGTTGAATCGACACCCGGATAAAACGGCATTTTTTTGGTTCCTAACTTCCTATTACGTATTGTTTTTACTGCGATAAATTATCAGAGGCGAATGCTATCGCTATGTTTAAAAAAGAACTATTGATGTTAGATTAACGGAAAAATTATGCATGAAAATGTTCGACAGGATTCTATTATAGATTTCTCTGGATGACGAATCCCTCCGAATAGAACATCGTGTACTTGACGACGTTGAAGAAATCGTATTCCGATCCAAAATCTTATGTAATTGTTAATTTGTAAGCAGTATATAAAAGGCAAGATTTTAATTAAATTTATCCGTGAGTAAGCAATGTTCAATTATCGTTATGAAAGGCTGTGTTCAAGATTAAATCACAAATAAAAATAGTTACTTCTCGTCTAAATTATTTTCCGTACAATGATACGTATGCAGTGATTGTACGTAGAAATTTCGTAATCTGCATATACTAATACGTATCAGTATTTACGTAATGCCTAACTTTAATCTTTTTTTTCAGTAATGGCGATAGATACTGCGCTTAAACTCCTTTTTTTTAACCACCCAGAAAATTTTTTCGATATACACTGGCCTGCCAAAAGTATCCGGGTATAATCCAGTTTTAGGAAATATCGATATAGAAAAACGCCGATCGTCTTAGTCTAAGAAATATCTTGAATGATCAGTTTTGAGTAATGCCTAAAAGACCAGACTTGTAGATTTCGAGTAACGGTAACACATCATCCGAAAGTAGTTTGATCGAGCATGAAGACATGTTATTGCAGTTAAAATTAAATCCTGAAATTTTCAACTACGTACTGAAAAAAGCTCAATCCTGGTGGAAAATAGCCCAGAAACTTCGATGCACATCATTGTGATAATCGTAATGTACAAATAAACTTTGTTTTGCACAACCGCCAATATACAAATAACTTGAGTTTATTAACGTTAACACAGAAATCGGTTTTACGGAAGTTCTATACGTAACGATAAAGGAATAATAATCGACTTTCATATATGTTAACGTTAATATTTTACCATCATTTCAAAATTTTAAATAAAATACTGAATATCACGATACCGATACGTAATCAATAAAAAGTAAACTCAGAGATCTAACATTTCAAATACTCATAATTGAAGTAAATGTATTCGCTGTCAAGAAAAACGAATTATAAAGTTGAATGGTCTAGCGAAAATAAAAATATCGGTAGTCTAATAAAAGAATGCACGAAAATCAAACCCTTTGAATGGATCCAGGTTTTGGAACAATTTATAAAGCAGCCTACGAACCATTGACCGAAATATGGGATCATGAAGAAAATAAATTTAAACGATCTGAGAACACAAAGTTGTGTTGAATTGAAATCATTCCACAATTCAAAGCAAATTACACCCGAGTTTATAAACGAGGTAAAATGAACACACCTTTTAAAGTGTAAACAAGTAGCTTTTTATTTTCTAGTCTAATTAACCTTTTCAAAAATCGATTCTGACTGCTCTAAAGTTCACTTTTAACTTATTAAAAACCATATTAATTCCAAATATGAAAAATTAAATCTCTTATCTTGTGTAAATTCTCATTTAATTTTTGAACTTTGTTCTCTTTTAGTATTATTTAGTATTGTCTATAAATAGTGATATCGTTATCAGTGAGCTAATTAAATTTACGAAAAGGGGAATATATTAATGTTAATAAATAATTATGCTCAAATTAATTTGCGGAGTACTTATATGAGTCCAGAGGTGCTTCATGGATCGTTTTGGAATGATTGTGTACGAGATTGTAACAGATGAACAACCATTCTGCATGTAATATTAGACCTCTATAAAGGAGTACGACCTATATGTAGAGATGTTAAAAAGCTCACTGAAGTTGGTCTTTCGAGTCGACTTGGCCCGGACAATTTTGAGTCGAGAGGGACCA